TACCTTTTGGAAAAAATAGCTAAGTTATTATGAAAAAAATGGGCATGACCTCCCCTCCCTATATGTCTGAATTCAAGCCCCCCACCTACCTTTCCCAGGTAGGCTCCCATCCCACTCTCCCTTCTCTCATACTGCAATGTGTTCCGTCTGTTTCACTGTATTAGATTATCTTCCCTTATTTGTCATTTCAGATGCTTTTCGAGAATTGGCCATGTTCCCCTGAGATTCTCCAAAGGTTCCAGGATATTAGAGAACGTCAGGTTCATCAACCAATTTCAAAGATTAGATCGATCTCCCTCCATCCTTTCAAGTAACATATCAGTGTTCTCTCATAAATATTTTTCGCTCAAATCATCGCCACTAGTACTCCTTTCAACTGAAAAAAATTCACTCTCTAGAAAGACAGATTGAGTTTAAAACTTCAAATCTTCTGAGAAACGGTTTTAAAACTCACAACAAACTCATTAGAATCTCCCACACATGCTTAAGATTGAGGAAGAGAAATGATGCAAAAGATACATTAGTGAAACTGTGTTGAACAACTGGATGTTGTCTAGTGATATCTATCAGAAAGTACTATACACACGTTAGACGAGTATTGAAAGCAATCCTTTTGCGGAAAAAATGAACTTTTAGGAGTTGCATCAAAGTAAAACCTCTGGATCTTTATGAACAAAATTGAATTATCTCCACACCTCTTCTCTCAACTTAATTGGAACCTTAAGCCACTCATAGCATAAGCAACTCATTTCATACTCGTTGGTTAAACGAGGCGAGTTCACAACACTACCCAAAATCATATACGAAATCTCGAATAACATAGAAGTAATACTATTTAAAACACAAACAGAAGAATATGCGCAGAACATATTGAACATGGATTCCAAGGTTTTCTCTCTTTCAACCCACTGGTAGACAAGTTCTCTTAACGTCTCCCAAAAAAATAAAAACAACTAACGCCAACATTCCACATTCTCTCAACAACCTGACATGGCTACAACGATTATCAGGAACAAACTGCTCTTCGGACATCCAAAATAAGGTAGAGGCGGGTCAGAGGTCCCATAGCGAAAGTAATTTGAAAAAAGTTCAAAAAACATACAAACTATAAACTACAATGATGTGTTTGCTGTTAACCTAACCCCGTTTTCTTGTCTTAGCCAAGTGCCAAGAGTTCAACTACGATGAACTGGTCGCTAACACAATTGGAAGTTGGAAAGAGAGTAATAACACGGAAATGAATTAAAATCTTTATAAATATAAAACATAAATCTTAAACAAGTATTTTGCTTCCTATTTAAGCTCCAAGTTGCTTGTAGAGGATTGGAACATAATCGTCCCACTCAGACTGTAACGTAATGATAAACAAAGATACAATTCTAAGTCACTGACTTGATAGAAGTTTCCAGCTACAGGAGTTCCGAGACCATGCTTCTCAACGAACTTAGCGGCCTTCCAGCATCCACGATTATCTCCAGAAGTATTAGTCAGTTTTCCATGTTCATTGTCTTGGATCTTGCCCTGTTGCTTATAAACCAAGAAAACGTAACGGTGGAGACCTCAAACAGAAGCACTACTACATTGAAATATAGAAGTATATTTAATACCAGTTCCTTGTGGGGGACCTGATCCGATGTATTCAGAAATGGTATCTCCTTTGCTGATGTCATTTCCAGGAACATTAACAACAAGCCAATGATGCCACTCACGATAAGTAGGCTCTTTTCTAGAAGGAGCATCTGGGTCTAAATAGAAAAGATAAATAATCAAACATCGAAGGGAATGAATACCAGTCATGATAACGGTGTAGAGAGCATCACTTTCAGCTTCCCATGAAAGCTTTGGAACATTTTTCACTTGAGTTGGTGTTAGAACGTTTCCAAGAGAGACCTACAAAATTCTTTTTTTTTCCTTGTTATTTTCACAAAGATGGAGCACTGAATCAAGCTATGCTCACCTCAACACCACTGTCATACTCAACTTTCACAGTTTTCGCTGGACCAACACTGATAACCTGTAAATTCTTCTAACGTTATTCGATCATAGTGTGAAAACATACGTCGGATACGATTTCGTGTTGTTTGAATTGAGCCTCAGCCATGACAGAGTAGTTTCTAAAAAGAAACTTGATGTAAAAGAATTTTCACTACAATATCATGGAAGATCATAGGAACAGTCTTACTGATGTTTGAAAATGAGATTCTGTTGAGCTCTAACAAACATCACTCGATTGCTCGAAGTTAAGGCGCTTCTAGCGCAATTGAACGCAATGGAAGCAGCTCTCATTCTCTTAAAATCGAAATCAGCCAAACTTTTTGATAAAATTAAATGATTAAACAGTATAAATACGAATCGCCACTATCACCAAAACAATGAAATGATTCGCCAGGTAGAAAGACTCTACAAAACACACAACGCGTTGCGTATCTATGCCATTGGTCCTGCATTCCTTTATGAACACTTGGAGAGCATATTCCAAACGATTAGACTGATGTATGAGAAAATAACGAAAATAGCTCTCGTAGTTCTAATCAAGAACATCTGAAATCGGAATGACTCACAACTGCACTATTTTCCGCTTGTTTTTGTGGCGAAATAATAAGGATTAGAATAAACACACGAAAGCATTTCCACATTTCACCAATTAACAACGGTTGTTGACGTTAGTTGTTGCTGAAAGTCATTCTGAAGAAACTTTTGAGGTGTGAGGAATGGATCACTTAACACTCCCTCCAATTTCATTCCGTAGTTAGTTTGTGACGAGCGGTCGTTCACGTGTCTCAAAGCCGTGGATCACTTAACACTCCAACTTCATTCCGTGGTCAATTCATTGACGAGCGGTCGTTCACGTGTCTCACGACGGTGGATCACTTAACACTCCAACTTCATTCCGTAGTCAATTCATTGATGAGCGGTCGTTCACGTGTCTAATGGCGTGATCGATATCATTTGAAAACTTCTTCCGATGCTTGAAGTGGATCGTGTTGCACGAATTTTGATTTGATTATAAAGTTATTCATGTGACTTTCTTCTGCAGTTTTTCGAAACTTGAGCTGCTGTTGGTATATCTAATACCGTGTGATCATCTTGGCATCAGATGAGTGGCTTCAAAGATTCATAGTTCACATCGAGCTTCCTGTTGTTAGCATTTCTAATAATTGCTTGCAGAGTTTATAGTAATGTTTTATATAGTTAAATATAATACAGAAAGTGCGTTCATAATAAATTACAATTGGTATGATATTGTAAATGAACTTATGAATAACCCGATCGCATTCTTAAATAGAAAAAGAGAGTTTGTAAGCATTACTGTGAGCTGCAATGGTTTGTCTTATCAGAACGAGTTACGTTTGTAATGAGAATTAAACCAATTGAACAAAATGAAAATGATCAATGGGCAAATGACTAAACAGCTGAAAATAGCCACAAACCAGAAACGCTTACGATCGTTCGAGCTGAAATTTGTTAGCGGAGCTGTAGATGTTGAAAAAGCTGAAGAACATAATTTTATATAAGATAAGATGAAACTGTCTCACATCTGTTGGATGGCGGATAACTCGGAGGAGGACTGTTACGTTTTTTATAATTGTAAAAAGGAGGATCGCGTTGGCTATAAAAGAGAGTCAAATCGGGGTCCTGAACATTTGGATTGAGAGAAGTGCTGAAAACGTGATAGTTGACAGGTTGAAGCAATGGATATTGAATTCACCTGAATATGTCCGGCAGTTCACTTTCTAAATCAATCGAAGTATACTTAGGAAGTGGTTTTTTCGAGGAAGGTGTTGGCGGATCATCCATATTTGCTGAAAATGCTCAGAGGAAAGTATGTGGAAGATGGAGAGAATGACAAAAGTGCTGTTTCAGATAGGAAAAATAGAGATAAAGTAAAATATAATATTCTCATCTGCCGCTGTTGTTGGCCGTTCAGCCATTGAATGACAAAATTGAATTATGACGATGACGATGTTGATGATGAGAAGGATGGTGATGAAGCCTGCTGTGCTAACAATCGCTATGACTATCTTCAATCGCATGTAAACGAAAACTCTCAGATATATTTCATATAAGCATGCTCTCTGTAGGCATCATCAACTGGTTAAGATAAAACAAATAAAGTTTGAATTTTAAGCGAGCAGCATAACAGGAAAGCGAATTGAGTTTAGGAGGGAGGGAGGGAGGTGGAGAAAGTAAGTGAGGTCTCATAGTTTCGACTTCCTTTAATGGCAATCCATTCACACAAATATGCTACTTTACAAGTATCATAGCATAACTCTTCCTTTTCTCGTACAAATATTAGGAAATAACAAAAGCAAATAGTTTGTACGAATTCAAAAAATTCTAAAAAAAAAAAGGAAAAAAAATGGGAAAACCGTTTGACGCGAAACAGAAAAACAGGATTGTAGGAGGTAGAATTGAATAAATGACCAATCATAACATCACTAACCCAGCAATTAGTACAAGATAATCCATTCGAAATCTGAAAACAAAGTTCACATTCAATTCGCCCACACGATTGAAGCTCCAATGGAATCTGTGCATGTGTGTCTGTGTGTGTGTATGTGTGAGAGTACGTGTGAGGTTGCTACATCGGCAGCTGTAAGTACTCAACGTACTTTTGAACAAAACAAAATCTCAAGTTTAAGTTTTATTTCTCATTAATTCGTCATTGGAAGTACGTTCTGAACGAAAAAGAAACGTATTTTTGAATAAATATATATAAAGTTCTGCTTCATTATTTTACAATCTAACAACTACTTCTCTTAATTCACTCTGTAATTTTGAACATCAATCATATTATAATATTAATAATAACACTCTGACAGGGTTATCTCTTGAAGAAGAAAGGATAAACATGAACAGATTCTCTTTTTGAGAATCAAGATTATAAAAAAAAAAAAGAAAAAAAAAGAAGCTTTTCCTCAAAAAGTGGGTTTAACATGAAAGCTCACTCTTGAGTAACTGAATGAGCCATGAAAAGAAAAAGTAGTTGAATGAGAAATTGAGAACAGAGTATGTGTAGAAGGACAACGGAGTGACATGACAATATGTTCAAGAGGATGACCATATGAAGAAAACCTCTAAAACGTTACGAAGTATGGGAGTGGGAGAGAGAGAGGGAGTGGGGGGGGGGGAAGAAAAGACAGTTCATGAAGGTTGGAAGGAAGTACGATTGGGACGATATTCAAGTCAGCAAATTGAGGCCAATCAAAGACTTAATATATAATATATAAAACATCTCGAACTATGAAAAAAATTATTACAAATGAGATAACAATTGAAAACCACACGCATGGCAAATTAGTGCATGGAAACTACTCGTTACTCTATTCCGAAATATATGGAAACGGCTTTTTATTGAGCAGCAGATTTGTGCTTAACAATGAGCCATGTGAAACGGAATTGATGGAGGTTTAGAACAGAACGGTTTAATACCGATTGTGCAGAAGAGAAAAGTGGCTGAATGTTTCATCTATACTTGAGAGGGAAAACGATAGATCTAAACTCGTTTCTTTATAATGAGACAATCGCCTGAGTTATATCAGAGCAATTGACAGTATCCCTGCTTTTTGGGCTTTTATCCTATTTGCCTATTTATGCCTAGAGGCTGCTGGGGTACTACAGGTTGTAGATGGAGCCGTAACGAAAAGATCAGGACGTCTTTGATGTTCGACAACTCCAGCACCACCCAACGGAGGTTGCCAAACCTATAAGTAGCTGATTAGATTACACACGGACTGTATCTTTCAAACCTCATATCCTAATTTTGCTAACTCAGCAGTCATCATATCAAGAAGTGTTTGAGGAGTATCTGTAAGCATGTGATATGATAAACGATTCGCACACTATTCAATTACCTGGCTTGAGGAAAGCAAAAACGGATCCTCCTCCACCAGCTCCGGTCATTTTAGGATGAATACCATAGCGAGCTAATGTTGTGCAAATCTGATCTACTTTGGGGTGGCCAACTCCTAATCCAATCAATAACTGATTGTTAATACGACATAAATCCTAAAATGAATGTTGAGCATGAGCAAATGATATGAAAGAAGCTTGTCGCAAGCTGATATAAGCACGACAAAACAATAAAACAAATTTCCAAAAAAGGCAAATGAGCTAACTTGACTATGCCGTTAAGTAATGAAACGTATTCGTATTCTAGATTTCTAATTCTTTTCCCTGAATTCTTCCCAAAATATATCTAATTTCATAACAAAGTGGTGAATACTTTAACGAAAATTAAACAAACTCCATTCAGACTAGTGGGAAGTTTCTAAATATTAAAAACATCCACCGTCGAGTTATTGTTTGTTTTTTCATATTTGAAATGAACTGAAAGCTCACATTTAGCTTGCTGAAAGTGTCGCTGAGTTCTCCTTTTTCGGACATAGCTGAGACGGCTGAAGCTGACGATCCACGTTTTCCTCCTGCTACATAGGAGGCCAATGACTGTGAACGAACACTACCGGCGCGATTTGGCTGCAACTACACACCATACAAAAAGCTATTCTCCAGGAGGGACAGAGCAGAGGTGTAACAGAGGTATGTGCGTTTAAATAAGTAAGTTAGAAGTGATGGTGAAAAGAAAAATGCATAACTCAGTAGATCTAGTAAGATTGAAATTAGAAATCAGAAGCTAACAGGTAGAGTCATGCATTTCTTTTTTCATTCAAGGAAGTCTACTTGAACTAATGGATTTAAAGAAGGAAGGAAGCGAAGAAGCTTTTGAACAAGAACTGAGGTTCTGAGCAGTCATACCTGTAGGGAATGATGATCAGAGTCTGGCACTGTTGTGCCACCATTTTCCAATTTTTCGTGCTTCTCTTCGATTTCAGTTCCATCATCAGCTGGTTTGTGCAAAATCTTAGCAGCTTCTCTCGAGATGGCATCTATTGTGGAAAAGATTCCTTCTACTACATCAGGGAACTGCAAAGAAGATGATAAACTAAGATGAAGCCTTGGACACTCGCGTACTTTTCTTAAGCGTTCCTTAACTGTCTGCACCATGCGAGAAGTATTACGTTCAACTTTAGAATTCACAAGAATAACTCGTAAATCTGGTAAACTGAAATGATTTGATTATTAGCAGTCCCTCTGATTACAATGAAAATTACTTCTTCAAGTGTTCAATACGGGTCCCTGGTTTATAACTAGCAACTCCACCTGGAAAAACAAAGATAAAGAAATGAAATTGGAAGTAGAGCTGAGAAATGTGTGAGAATATATATTCTCAGTCTCATAGAATGTTTGACAAGAGGCACCACAACTGCGATACGAATAAATGGATAGAACAGTACACCTCATTTGCATACCAAGAAGATCTTTTTTCTTCTATTTTTTTATATATTTTTTCGGATTTTCAGGTCATTTTAGCTTCTAATTTAGAACTAACTCAAACTTCTATAAGCTTTACGGATGCAAAACAGTGCTATTGAAATGATAGTTTGAAAACTTTGTAATTAGAATTGACAAAAAGAGGTAAAAAAAAAAAAAAAGCACTCGACACAATTATCCTCGATAACGGTATTGAAATGAGGGGTGCTGTGCATCTATCTTTAAGCCATCAACGTAAAAGATGTAAGTGTCACACACCAATCATCAACACTACGATTATGTACCACTGAACATTACTACGGATAAGCACGTGCATGAACACACAACAAGCTCAGCGGTATAGTGGAATGTGGGTTGAGAATTCAAAATAATATGAAACAATCAAAATATAGAAAATAAAAGACAAAATTCTCAACATTCGTTGGTGTTTAAAATAAAAAAAAACTGTGATTGCATACTAAGAAAGAGGTGTCAGAAATAGAAGAATGAAGGAAAAGGAAGGAAAGAAGAGAGAGAGAGAGATAGAGAGAGAGATTGTGGTAGAGGGTGATGTTGAAGGAAATTGTCATATCGTTGCTTTGAAACACTTGATGTCCGTTTCTTTTCTTTTTTTGAACGTTTGATCTTAACATATTCAAAATACGATTAATGATGTGTAAGGTTTCCACAAATAGCTTTCTGATCAAGTTCCTGATTAACAAGGATAAAGCAACAGACTGATTCAATTTCCTCGATGATGTGGTTTGTAATAATAAGCATTACGGAAAAAAATGCCATTTACACTCATTGATAGCAAAAATAAGGAACAGCACGACTCCATCATAGAGGAGATCAACCAAACAATTGACGAAGAAAGAAATAGTAAAAGAGAAGCATTGAACATAGCTGTATAAATTACCATAACATCCTACATATCCAAGATGCGTAAAACTTTGATATCCATAATCGCGGTAGCCTAAAACTCGATAGATCCATATGCGATCGTGCTTGACAAGGAAAACCGCACAACTCTCATATCGGACAGAGATAGATGAAGAGCAAAAGATTGAAGAGTTAGAATAAAGTGTTTGAAAGTTGGTATAGAGAAATATAAGTTAAGTTAAGAGAAATAGAAACTGCGAAGTTACAGCTTCGTTTTAGAGTGAAGTTTAAGTTTAGAAACTTATATAATGAGGATATCATTGAATATCTAATCAATCAACCAGACACACTGAAACATAATGTAACACACTGGGGGAAGAGGAGTTTTCTGCTATTGAAGGAGGAAAAGAAAATAAAAAAATAATGAAATTAAAATCTTGAAGCCTAAACTCAGACGAAATGATGTTATTATAGAAATAATAATATCATTTTCAAATCGAGTGCATAAGAAATTAGATGAGCGAATTGTCTATCACACAACACATGGCAGAAATGCAAATTTATACTTTTACTTTGTTTTTGAAAGTTAGCATAACTGTTCTACCCATTTACGCGATGAATCGTCCACGCGCATCATCTAACATTATTACGAGAACAACGAGAAGCAGCAATAAAAGCAAAGCATCATTCAGAGACTAATAAGGTATACGGGATCAACTTGCTTTCTCTCGCCAGTTGTGGACGACCGATGAGAAAATGATAGAATGAACTTGAACTACTTACCGAATGTGCAAACAGCTGCATCAAGACCGCTTGCTCTACCATGAATCAAAGATTCAGCTGCGGTTGCCCATTTGCGAATCATATCCAAGTGTGGATCTTCCCAGGTAAGTGTTCCTTCTTCATCTGTCTTAAATATAGAAAAATGAATATCATGCATAGTAAACTATAGGAATAAGATTATGAATGCAATCGTTTTGTGCTTTGTAGGAGAAGAATATATTATATTCATTAACTTGCAGTTCTGATGGCACAAAAAAATATTTTGGGTTTAAATAATATATGAATATATCAATATGAACCTCAATGGATGGAGAAGGAATAAGTCCTGCTGTTTGTAAAAGTGATGTTGCAATGCATACACAATAAGCACCTTAAAAAGTTGTGATTAATATGATTTATTGTTAATGACATGCTTACCCGATGAGCCTAGTCCAACACAACTAGGAAGTTTGAATCTCACAGTAGCTTTGACAGCTAAAAGGTCCCTGAAAGAACAAAAAGTATGATTAGGACTAGTATTTTGAAATTCGTATGAGGCTGTTAAACATGAAACGTCTTCAAAACTTAATGATGAGGACAACATAAATACACAAACACCTACGAAGCGAGTTTAGATTGATCCCCATCAGCTGCAGCACCTTCAGTTTTTCCAGTTGAAGCAAGAACACTAAACATTAACAAGCAATACAAACAATATGTGAAACACATGTTGAAGTTGATAAAATAATGTATGAAGTTGTTTGATTTGCATACTGCGCATAAAGAAAAGCATGCTTATCACTAAATAGAGAAGCAAAGAATACTACTAATACTATTACTACTGTCACTACTATCCATTCGCAAAGACGACAAATAGCGAAGGATGTCTATGTATTTGTTACATCACGCATACACACACCACGCACAAATCATGCAGATTATCAGTAGGTTGATAACTAATACTAACCTTTTCCTATGAGCTACTCCCAATAATAGATACCAAAAAGCTAGAATAGCTAAGTGTTGTACACCACACTGATCTTCGCAACTTCCTGATAGCTTACGAGCAATAGGTACGACAACTTCTAAAGAAGGCGGTTGGTCATCCTCTACAGGATGTTCAGCTAAAAATATTTTCATAGATATATAAATAGATTACAGATAATGAATTACCAGCCAATCTATCAGCTGCTTTGAGCAAATCTTTCAGCAGCCACGTTTTTTCTACACCAAGATCCGGGAGAGACAGGTAAATTCGTCCATCAGCCGATGTAAACATGGACACATATGTTCTTAAGTCGATTGAGCCAGCAATCGCAGTCTGCAAAAATATATAAATATAAGATATTATATATATCAACAAATCAATCTAAACATAATTGATAGGTTAAAAACTCACTCTTCCATATACGACAGCATGCTCACCGAACAAAATAATTTTTCCCGGTGCACTGACGTAAAGACCACCTGAAGCCGAGCTCATGTTTCTCATCGGGCTTGCTTGCGTGGATGCTCGAGAACAACTACCGCCAGGAGAATCCAGCACTAAAAATAATAATATTATAATATAATAAAATAAAAAATACAGTGAATCGTTGATGAGTGGAAGGGTAGTGGGAGAATTGGGTGGTTGTGTTTTGTTATGTTATAGTGGAGGTAAGATTGTTTCGGCTCTTATGCGTTATTCCCCCCCCCCCCCCGGCTCCGCCCCTTTTGCCATTGCCGCACGGAATTTCTTTTTGTAGAATTGAGATTTTTTAAAAGGCTTAGGTTACCTCTAAATGCTTAGTCTATCTCTAAAAAACTTGATTTTCCTTGATTTTCTTTACCAAAAGCGTGCGCAAAACGGCAGAAAGGGGCGTGGCTAGGACGGGGGGGGGGGAAATAACGCATAAGCACCATTGTTTCTACTGATTGTTCGTGTTGTTATTATATAGAAACGTGCATATGATCTCAATCGTTTAAGCTCACATACAGATCGAAGTATCGAACGTATATTTAATGACTGAAGAATTCCAAAAATGGTATTAGTCTGAGTTCAGTAGTACAGTACGATTTGAGACACAAATAAACAGTCGTGGCCAATAAAAAACGCCAGCCGTCCAAAATTAAGGAATTTTGGAAGTTTTCCAAGGGTCTTTTGAAACCATATGAAATAAACAGACATTACTTGGTTGGTACTGCGAAGTTTGAAACTTGGTTTCTAAGAGTACGGTGCAAGCCTCAAATAGGTTAGTGATTTGATAATAATGGGTTTGATGGAATTTTCCTGCCAAATCCAATATACAACTCAAAATTTTGATTGGAATTGAAACGTTAGCGTTCTCTTCCGGCCACGACTGTGAAATATGAAACAGTAGTTCTGCTTTGCATTAATCGGCTTTTCGTGCCATCTATCTCTAATCGCAACAGGGAAAAAGGAAAAGAATCAAAAAAAGGGGTTCGTACACGTCTAAACATAATCATGACGTGATATTTCAATACCTGGTTCATCCACAAACCCCGCTGTTTGAACAGTCAAAGAATTGGAATCATGAAGGATGAGTGGAACATCAACTTCCATATGACTGTCAACGGCAGCCATCTCAGTCTACAGAATAGTTAAACGGCTTAAGTGGATATATCTAATGTGGCAATGAATAGATAAGAGATAAGAGAAAGATAGAAAGAGAGAGAAATTTGTAAGCAATATAAGGAACAATATAATACTATAAATAACATTAAAGACTACAATAATAATATGAAAAGTAGCACAGAAAATGTGTCTTGAGACGATCACCACTTCAACTTTTGAATATTCAGTCTCTCTTCCTCTGTCTCTTCCTTGTATATAGTCCAAAATGATGACAGGAAGAGAGATAGTCAATATTAATGAAGTTAGGACAACTGTTTTGCTAGAAGCGATAACTATCTGTTAAAAACATAATATTAATGACGTGGAAAGTTGAGGTTCATGAGTGAATGAGGACGTCTTTGAGAGTAATGGATAGGCTAGGGAAAACGAAGTGGATGAATGATAGCAACTGTTTACTTAAGAGAACGCAAGAGACGAAAAGAACAAAGTAAGACAGAAACGAAAAGAGTTTGGCATTGAGTGGAAGCAGCTACGAGATACTTGATGACAACGTCATGAAAATGAAGGCAAAGCAAGAGAAAATGAGAGTGAGAGGCGCAGAGATACCTTCGTTCGTCTGCAATAAACGATAGAAATCATGAAAAACATTCGTTCTAGCCATAGCAAAATGACTACTATTGCTGTATTCTCAGGAATTTAACAATGACTACAAACACATTGAAATATCATTTGCTCCTGTCCGATATATTCGCAATTCGTTAGGATGAAAGATTATATCAATAGCTGTCATAGCTCACACATGAACCCATAGAAGGAGTGTTGAATATGTGATTTGTAATTTTGATACAAGAAAGATGAAAAGAAAAATTAATTACAAATATAAATATACAGTGATATATAGATGATGGAATGCTATAAGAACGCAGCAGCAAGCCTCAACAATATGAAAAACAAGCCTTTAGCATTTAAAAAAAAAAAAAATTGAAAAGCATTCATATTTTAAAACATAAAGCTGTGAAGGAAAGGCGCTCAGATAATACGTAGCCTTATCTCATTAAAAAAACATTAGTGAATAACGGCGACATAAATTAATTTTAAGTAAAGACATAAATGACAATTGGTGCATGTCTTGTAGTTTTCTATAGAATATTCCAAAAAAGAAAAAAGAGAAAGAGGAAGAGGAAGTAAAAGAAGGAGGAGTAGAGAAGATAAACCAAAATAAACTGAAAGGTGAAAGGCTGCGAATATGCAGAGAGTGAGAGAGTGAGAGTGAAAGAGCGTGAAAAGAGCAGAACCTGACAGGATTGCGCCTTATCGGAATTTACAGAAAAGAAGATGGCAGACAACTTGGCCTGCTAGGGGAAGTAGAAAAAAACATGAAAAAGTTCCTTTTATAAAACAATAGAAAAACGAATAGAGATGAAAGGTTTCAGATGCTAAGATTCTGTTGACGATAAGCGAGATGTAATAAGTTATTTGAAAAATGAATTTCATTGACTAACACAGATAGGTTTGATTTAATGTGCTGCGTTTGTTGATATTCTCTGATGGAAGCATGTTCATCAAAAAGTAGCCACCAACGCTTATAAAGGTTATAGCAAATGATACTATCAGGCTTTTTATCAATTGGAGGGGCGTATCGGTATTACCAATGACGAACGTTAACTTCCACGAGGCACAAAAGCACAAAGATTAGACTTATGAAATGGTATGGTTTAAAAAGAAACTGTCGAATATTAGGCCGATTACAATGGCACAGATAGATGCCGTCAAACCTTATAATATGTCTCTGAAAAATGCTTATCAGCCTCTCTAGTGACGCAAAAAGAAATGGTAATTCAGCTGAACAAACTCTAGTTGGATAAACGGAAAAATTCACCCAATAAAACAGCCTATAAATTAGTAGTTAGCTACTGCGAGAAACAAAAAAAAGAAACACGAAAGTGAACTCAGCACTCTCTTCTCTCGTACTCCACAATTAGCTTCTGTTATGAAGAGAGCAGCAGAGTACATTCAAATCAGGCCTAATTAAGTATTTGACATATTTAAATACAATATAAAGACAAAACTTTGAAATTGCGTAAAAGCTTTGAATACAATTTTTCACTTATTGTCAATTTCAGAATTCTTCAAGACGGGAAATGAGTTAACTCTTCACGTCTTCCTGTGGCCACTCTGGGATAGTCGCTTCTCAGATAATCCACTAACACGGAATGGGAATCAAAAATGTACGTTTCTTACACTTTCTCATATATTCATAAATTCGGAGAAAGAGCTAAGGGAAACAAATAGAGAATGAAAAAGAAGAAGAGTAAGCGAGAGAGACTAAAAAGTAAAGAGAGAGAGTGAGAGAAAGAAAGAAAGAATGAAAGGAGCACGAAGTAAGAGCAGAACCCAAAGCTCTTTCATTTTTTTTCTTCTCAATAGAAATAGTGATAATGTAAAGCATTGAATGCACGAAACATCTTGCATTGATGGGTGATAGAACGAATCTGAGATTGCTAGTCGCTTAGACGGAAAGTAATGTAATAGTATACAGGAAGAGTCTTATTTGCACAAACTAAAATTTGATAGGACCACCTCCGGGTCGATGGAGCAGCCAATGAACAGTGCATGCCATTCCAAAAAAAGGTGGAGGCGGCTGCATGTTTAAAACTCACTGGTCATTAAAGCTGTTGGAACTTAGGGTCTTGTATAACTCGTTAAGAACATATTTTACTCCAAAAAAAAACGTACCTTGGTCTCCTCTGACGACCATTTTCTGTGCGATTGGAAAATTGTTACGGCGACGTGTCTTAGTCACCGAGCACCCACCCGAATCCTAAGAAAAAGAAAATTAGAATAAGTACATTTAAGAACTAAACGGTAAAAATACGAATGAAACTTGAAGACAATCAATGAAACATTAAGAAACAGCCCGTTTGGCAACGGAATAACAGTTGTGCCGAAATCGGGGTCGAGAATTGGCGAGTGGAAGGGGGGGGGGGCAGCGATAGGACATCAGTCAGAAGAGATGGATCCTCCAACATATGACGTCATACAAGTAGCAAAAGACTATGAACAAGAATATAGAGAGAAGAATCAAGATTTGATTAGAGAAAGCGAGCAATTATAAAGATGATAAAAGCTAATGAGACATTGAGAGAGAGACGGATCACAAAAAAGCATTCACATTATCATATCTGAAACATGAACACTTCAGAGCATTCTTCGTTTCTTTTTCATTACTTAATAAAAAACTGTAAAGCTCAACACTATCGATACGAGAGAGGGTTTTGCACTAAAAATTGGAAAATTACACAACGAAACGTTTTTATGAGCACTGAAAATACAGGAAAAATCGATTACTGGCGACATTTTAAACTGTAAACTCAAGCAAATAGACATATATAAGTGAAACGGTTGTTACTTTGATCATGATAGGATCATGTGCAACATCAACATCACCTGATGATGATGATAATTGAAAAAATGACTGATATAGATAATGGTTCTAATGAAATAATCAAAGAATGAAGTGATCATAATTTTTCGAAAGGAAAAATTGTCGACCTGGAACAGGCCTATATTCCTGGCGATCGTCTTCAGTGTTGTAACGTGACCCTCGGCAGTTAATAGAGATATGCCTAAGTTAAAGAGAGAAGAAGAGAACAGAAGAAGCCAACTGAAGCTAAACTGATCGTGAGATGAGCTGGTGAGAAAAGGGTGTATGTCGACAGAGAGGAAACAGAAATGAGAAATAGTTATATGACGAAATGAAAACGAGAAAATATCAAGTCAACGCCAGAGATAATACGGCTTTGTAAGAGAAAAGGTGACAACAAATTAACAGAGTAAATGTACAACTAAGAGAGATATAAGAAAACGAGAAACCGGGATGGATCAATAGGATAACGACTGAATGAATTCGTTGTGGAAGACCTGAGGAAGGATTGCGCCAACGAATGAGGTATTGAGCTTGAATATGATATACGAAAAAATGAAAGAACTAAATGATCTTTCAACCATCAACATAACAGCCAAGTGTTTTAAATAAATGTAAGTAAAAAAGAAAACGAGAAGTTCAATGGATCAGGTGGGAGGGGAGAGCAAGGTCTTTGAGAGCATAGCCTCAGGCCACACAAAATCTACTTAAGCTTGCCCGAGAATGGCTCGCAGGCTGTAGTAAGTTCAGAGCAAAGACCACGTATGGGGTATAGGAGGTCTCTCTCTCTCTCCTTTTTACATTTTCCCTTCATATATCTCTATGCTGAAGAATAGAAATAAGAAGAAGACGAAAAGACCACAAAACTGCGATTTAAACACTAATGTAAGCAGTCTAATAACAAAATCAAAAACTATAGATAAAGCAACAAAAGATTTTAAAATGTTTCGAAACACAAAATTTTAAATTTAACTTAGCGCTCAAGTTATTATTATTCAAAAAAAAAAGTCTGCTGCATATAAGCTACATATTGTTATTTTGTGCTTATACAACAGCAGCGAAAAAAAGAAAATTTTTTTTTCCACTAAGTTTCGAAAAACTAGCAAGAAAGTGTGAAAAAAAAAAGAAAAACGGAAAATACCAGAAAAAAAACGGAAAGACAAATTAGGAAAGCATGAATAGCCGAAAAGCTGCTGATGTACCCTCCCTGCATATTATGGTTTTAGGATCTGCACAAATAAATATGAAAAAAAAGAAAGAAAAAGATGAAGACGACGACAACGAGGATAAAGAAAAAAAAGATTACATAATAGAGACAGAAACATGAAATGAAACGAAATGAAACTTGCTCGACGACGAGACCTCATTTTAAGAACAACCAGTCGCTAGACTGCAGCACGGAAAATGACGCTACGTTACGTTCACGTCAACTACGTAGTCAATATTCAAATTTCGAATAATTTCGCTTCAAGACTAATTGATGAGAATGAAAATACAAATTCATAAGTAAGAAAAAAATTGAAAATCGTCAAAAACAAAAAAAAAGAAAAGAGAAAGAAAAAACTGAAAGCCAAGATGGAGATGCGACTTCGCAAATTTCAGTTTCTGCTTTTCGCATTCGTCTCATGCTGCTGCTGTGCCTTTTTCGCAAAGCCACATCTATCCAGTTTTCCCCATATTCCAATCATTTTCCCTCCTTTCTCTATCCCTCCCTGTTTCTTTTAAACGTCCCGAGGGAACGTTTCAGAGGACCCGGACGGAGGGCTCCAAGCAGCATATAAGCGGCCAACCAACCGACGCCCATAATAGAGGTCCCATGCATGGATTCAGCTGCAACGCGAGGTTTCGCAGCTGGAGAATAGCGAACTATCAGATTCAAACAAAAGATTTTTCGAATTAAAAAAAGAAAAGATGAATAACGAGCCGGCTTCGCGAAAATATTTTAATTTATTCATTCAAATTCACTTAGGCTATATAAGTTGCAAAATAAAATTCTTGACAATCATCACATAAGCCAACGCTTTCAACCTCACATAACAGAAGGAGAAGTGAGATATGAGCATGGAAAACGAGTCTAAGAAACGTTCCAATGAGTCAAAACATGCTCGTTATTAATATGAACGGCACTTATCTGATATATTACAGCTCAAGATGAGCGTCGGTGACAGATTCCTCAGCTTCAAGCCAGACAGAAAACATCAACCGGCTCAAAACAATAGGTTTTGACTATGCCAGCCGCAAAAATCGGATGTGCTAGCTTCAAGCTTAGCAGTCGCTAGGCTCTTCGGTTGGGCCAACAGCAGAGCTAATCGAGCTGCCAAAGAAGGCAACTCCTGCTAGACGGGCATGCTCTTCTATCACTCCGTTTTCTATTCATCTCTACGTCTTTCTTGAGATGAAGCCAAAAATAGTCGCTCAAGTAGTGAGGAAAGAGTAAAGGGAGGGAGAAACGAATTGATAGAAAAAACGAGAGATTCAGAAGAGAAAGGGGGTGGGCATAGGTGGTTATCAAGATAGATTACCATGTGTAAGGATAGAAGGAAAAAAAGTGCAAAAGAAAAAAAAACGAAAGATGAAAGATTTGAAAATTGGATGAAAGGAACAGAAGAAGCTCAACAATGCCGATTAGAGGTAATAGGATTATTCTAAACACGAGGAGGGGTTGAGAGAAAATGGAGGCAGAAGTTTGAAATCCTAAAACCTCAAATTGAAAATTCCAGGAATCTCGTGTGGAGGTCAAATAAGAGGCGCGGCCAGATGAAGCTTGGACGAGGCTTTTTAGAGCTAAGCGTGAGAATACCGAACCAACAATTAAGATCATACATTTTCTGTGAATATAAGTAACAACAACAGACGTTTTTTTTGTGAATAAGCAGAAGCTTCAATAGTAGTGGCAGTGGCAAAGCAGTAGTCGGAGCGCCGTGTGAAATCGAATTGCGACTGCCGACTTGTCGTTTGTTCATAATAGTGGTGGTGTCTGTGAGTCTTTGTCTTCTTTCAAATTGAAAAAAAAAATAGATGAAAATTAAAATTTAAAAATTCATATGAGGCTTAAGGGAGACAGAAATAGAGAAGTAGGGAGAAGGGCAAAGAGGGAGGGGGCATGGGGGAGAGTAGAGAAAGCAAAATGTAATGCGAGGGCGATGAAAAGTGCATGATGAATAAGAGATCTTATTAAGTCAGACTTCAACTACGCCAACGTACAACTTGTTTATAACTTTGTTCTTCGAATAGTATAAGAAACCATTTTCTGCTTTTCACAAACAAGACGCCGGCAGGTGGAAGGAGGGTGGAAGAAGGCGAATATTCTCCTTCAAAATATGCGTGACAAACTCTGCTCTAATCTTCCACAAGACGATTGAGAAATGAAGAAAAAAAATTCAACGAATTTACAAAAAAAAATTTTCCCTCTCTTTCCATCCTCTCTCCCTATCTGTCTCTCAGTCTCTCAGTCTCGCAACAGAAGTTGTCATCTGAAAATCAGAAGCTGAAGAAGGAGCAGAAAACATGTGTTGCTTTGAGACTTTTCAAGTCATTTATAAAGAGAAACTGATCTCTGAGCTACTTGTAAACGAGAAAAATCACAAAAGAATATGATAAAAACATTGAAAACTTTGAGGATGAAGCTCAAGAGGATGTCCTTTTTAAGTTTGAGAATGAGGGCGAGAAGGTAAGCCTGAGGGGAGAAAGAGAGAGGGGAGAAAGGGAGGGCTGGGAGGGGGAAATACTTATAAACTTTTCTCAACGAACTTGAGAGAAATAGGAAAATGGACTAAAAGGAAAGAAAAGGAGCTTCGATGAGTAAAAGAAAGAATTTGAAGAAACAGATTGACTCTTGATGAAAATTGTGTGGAAATGACTGAATGTGAAAAGAGAAAAGAAGCAAAAAAATGAGTGAAGCCTTGATGAAAGGTGCACAAAGTAAGAGGGAAAGAGGAGAGGGGGTGAGAGAGAGAGAGAGTATAATTATCAGAATATGAAGAAGTAGAGAGAGTGAAAGAGGTAAAGAGATAAATAGAGGAAGAGGGAGGAGGGGGTGTGATGATGATGATGAGGAAAAGAGGATTTAATACTACAATCTCCCTGCCCATCCTAGTAGGTTGATCTGGTTGAAGCTGATTTTTATAGTAAATAATAGCAAATTTTGGGGTCTTTTCTGGAGAGTGTATGAGAGCCGTTGAACAAGCTCAAACTTGTTTGTTTTCAAAGAAAAAAAAAACATTTAAAAGAATGACAACAAGCGATTAATCGAGCAATTCCTCAACTTGCTTCAATGCAACTACCACACACACACAGAAGTATCGAAACAAATTGATGAAGTATAATAAACCTTT